TGGCTCATGCCTGTAATCCCAAAGTTCAAGGCTGCCGTGAGCTATGACTATACCACTGCACTCCAGCCTGGGTGACAGAGCAAGACCTCATCTCTAAAAATAAATAAAATAAAATATTTAATGTATTTTTAAAGCCCTTCCTCTTCTTTCATAAAGCACTGCATACTAGATATCCTTGTTAATAAAAAAAAAAAAAAGAGCTGGGCACAGCAGCTGACAACTATAACCCTACACTTTGGAAGGTGGAGACAGGAGGAGCCCTTGAGACCAAGAGCTTTGAGACTAGCCTGGGCAACATTGGAAGACCCCATCTCCACAAAAAATTAAAAAATCAGCCAGGCAGAGTGACATGTGCCTGTGGTCCAGGGACACAGGAGTGAGGTGGGAGGATCACCTGATCCCGAGGCTGAGGCTGCAGTGAGCAGTGAGAATGCCACTGCACTCCAATCTAGCCAACAAAGCAAGACCTTGTCTCAATAAAATAAAATAAAATAAAATGTGCTTGACTGGATAAAAGCATTAATTCACAATTTTCCTAGTTCACATTTTAAAGCATATCCATCACAGATAAATTATTTATCTGAGGTTTTAGAAAAGTTAATTACAGCAAAATGCCATTAGATAGCAGGATCCTAATAGATGACAATGGATTACAAAATATGAGAAAACTTACTTTAAAATCACAAATTCTCACGTCTATCTCAAGTACAGAACCAACTTCTAAATACGCTATATTTGTTTTGTAATATGTTTATTCATTTAATAAGTATTTAGTGAGGGTCAACTGGCATAATGGCAATACTGAGGTAAATTTTACATGCATAGTGGTGCCTCTGGAAAAAACAATGATTATCATAAACAAATAGGATACTTACAGTCTAGTAAGGAAACAATCAAATAATAAAACCAACTTACAATGAATGGTACCCTGAATTATGTGCTCTGAGGGTAAGAACACAGTTTTGTTTGACAGGAACATGATTTTGACTTGGAGGTAAGGAAAGGATTCCCCAAAGAATTCAGATAAACCAAGATCTGAAGGATAAGAACTTAACTAGGCAAGGGAAAGGCAGAGTCCAGAAAAAGTGAAAATATAGCAGGTATATATACCAACTGAGCTGGGGAGAACAGGATACATTCAAGAAAATCCATGTGAAGAAAAAGAAAGGAAGAATCAGGACTGGAGAGACAGAGAGAAGCCCAGAAAGTGTTCGGTCTTACAAACCAGGTTAAAAAACTTGGGTATTTAAAGGACAGAGTGTCACTGTAAGGCATTCAACTGAGGGTGGCATAACTGTCTTTCGTTTTAACTTTTTTGAAGCAATTTTAGGTTCACAAAAAAGATGCAAAAACAGTAGACTCCTTGAGTACCCCAAACCCAGCTTCTATCAGTAACACCATCTTACATAACTATACTACAATGACCAAAACCATGAAACTGATATTGGTATAATACTATTAACTAAACTATAGACCTTATTTGAATTTCACCTGTTTTTACATTTACTATGTGTGTATGTGCATAGTTTTATGAAGTTTCATCATATGCCCCATCTCGTATAACCACCACCTTGACCAGGATATACAACTATTCCATCAATACAAATAAACTTCCTCATGCTGTTCCTTTATCTACCTTCCCATCAACTGTAAGCCCTGGCAAACACTGCTCTGTTCTCTATCACTTTCTCATTCCATGAATGTTACATGAATCATACAGCATGTAACCTTTTGAAATAGGCTTTTTTTCACTCAGCATAATGTTCCTGAGATTCATCCTAGGTGCTGCATATATTAAGTTGGTTCTTTTTCGTTGCTGAATAATATTCAATTGTATAAATATATCAGAGTTTATCCATTTGCCTGTTGAAGGACATTTAGGGTGATTCCAGTTATTAGTGACTCATATTTGTTTTATTAAAAGATCTGAACAAAGTATGTAGACTGGGCCACTGGGTAGACAGAGCAAATGCAGAGAGGCCATTAAGGAAAATATAGAAGTAGTTCAAACAGAAGTAAATAACAACCTAGACTAATGATTTTCATAGTAGGAGGGGATGATTATGCCCCCAATGAGTCACTTGGCAATATCCAAGACATTTTTGATTGTCACAGCTACAGGGCTACTACTGGCATAGAGCAGACAGAGACTACAGATACTACTAAAAATCCTTCAATGCACAGCCTACACACAAGAATTAAGTGGCCCAAAATGTTAATAGTGCCAAGGTTGAAAAACTCTGACCTAGACTCAAGTGATGACAGCAGAGATGGAGAAAAGAACTGCACAACTGAATAGATGGTGGTACCAGGCACAAAGAAAGGAAACATGGCAAAAGGTCAAAGTATTTGATGTTCTCTCTGGGGGAGGTTGTTGGGGGAAATCGTAAAATGTTTAGTCTTTGACATGCTAAGGTTAAGCTCCTTAAAACAAATATCTAAGTAGAGACACTGACTTGGTCTGGAGCTTAGCAACTACACAAATGGTGTTGTCATCAGTGTACTAATAGTCTAAGTCATGTTTTGAGATGAGATTATATAAGAGAATACCAAGATAAAAGAGAATATAGCTTAAAACCAATTACTGGTTAAGATGGAAGACAAGCCTGCAGAGTGTAAGAGATGAGCAAAAAGGAAGAAAACCAGGAGACTGTAGTGTCCAAAAGCCAGTGTTTTGCAGTATGAATGGGCAACAGTATTAAATGCTGCAGAGAAGCCAAACAGGATACTATCTGAGAAGTTCAATGGATTTGCCAAACTGGAGATTAATTTAGGGAGAGCGGTTTTCATGGAAAGAGTGGGGAAAGAGGCCAGTGTGAACTGAATCGAGGAGTGGCAGGTGAGACTAATATGCATGACACTTTCAAAAAGTTTGGCTGTGAATGTAGGAAAGATCTATGGCACTAAGTAGAAGACAGGGATCCAGGGAGGCTGAATTAGGCTAGAGCCTACTCTGATTCCAAAATAAAATTTTTATAATTTTATATCACTCAGTACCTTTACATCGAAGGTAGGCAACTTGAGACAGAAATTCCCCTTTGGAGATTTTATCACTCCGCAACCAAGGCTACCTTTTTTCTACATTTAATTTTTTATTGGTCACTCACCCTTCTATTGCAGATGCTCCCTAACCCTTACAATGACTAGCAGAAACCCTATTAAAAGAGAATCCCTAACATTAACAAATGTGTCGGCGAAAGAAACTGTACAATGAAAACAAAGCCATAACGTGGAATAAATATATCAATTTCTTTGTTTTTAACGGCTTATATGAAAACTGGCGTAATGGCAATACTGAGGTAAATTTTACATACATAAACATAGTGCTTTCTACTAAAAAACCTATTATGATAAAACAACACGGGCCGGGCGCGGTGGCTCACGCCTGTAATCCTGGCACCTTGGGAGGCCAAGGCAGGCGGATCACGAGATCAAGAGATCCAGACCATCCTGGCCAACATGGTGAAACCCTGTCTCTACTAAAAGTACAAAAATTAGCCGGGCATAGTGGCACTCGTCTGTGGTCCCAGCTACTCGGGAGGCTGAGGCGGAAGAATAGCTTGAACCAGGAGGCGGAGGTTGCAGTGAGCCGATATTGTGCCACTGCACTCCAGCATGGCGACAGAACAAGACTCCATCTCAAAAAACAACAAAAACAAAAACAAACACATAAGTGTCAAGAGTTCGTAACGGTTTTAGGGCTCAAGTTTTGTCAGGAAAAGTAATATTCATGTACCAACATTAGAGAAAAAGTAAAGAAAACGGCTTAAAAAACTGAGTTCTCAGCCTGGCTACACCCTGTTGTTCCAATTTGCTTGTGCCTTGGTTTTTCTGTTAAAAAAAAAAAAAAAGTGAATGGCTACTTACAACGATACAAGACATTGAACAGTGAAGCTTGGTAACTTTTAACACATTAAGAGCAATTACTGCTGACGTACTCGTGCCACAAGATTGCCTCTACTGCAGTGAGCGCTAGCTAGAGCCTAATGTGATTCCAAAGTAAAATTTTATAAATTTTCACTGAATTAAACAGTGGCTGCACAGGAGAAATACTGAATATCAAGATGTGTCACGATCGCAGAAATGTACGTGTCTCTCAAAATAACTACTTAGAATGACAAGTAGTTATTGGCTATAAATCCTACCAATCTAGGAAATTTATTAACCTATAAATTTTCCTGAAGGAGGCCCCAAGACCAAACAAAGAAACAAGAGAATACAAAAACCCTCGAAGCAGCTCTAAGCACCGACAGGGGAACCTCAGGGAAAATAGCTTCCTTTCATTGCCGGTCCAGGTGTGATGACTCGCTAGCCTCCTGGGCCTCTCTAGGGCCGGAGCGGACGAAATCCTGTTTCAGGAGACCGCAGCCTCCCCGAAAGGCTCTGCCACGTCTCCAGGCCAGAGAGGGCCGGGCTAAGGTCCGCGGGCGCTCGCCGCCAGTCTATCCTGAGGTCAGCGCCCTGGTAGGTGGGGCCAGAGGGCCAGGGCGCTCCTGCTTTGGTCCTTGGACAGAAGCAAAGTGTCGCGGAGCGAGACCCTCGAACCGCACCTACCATGCCATCCCCAGCGGAAACTGTTCCCCTTGCGAGGCGCACTCCTGCCTGCTGCACCTCGCACGCCGCCACAGCAGCGCCCGGACAGCGCGAGTGTGGGTTCAGAAACGACCCCGGCGTCCAGTGGTGCCTGCCGGCCCGCCTTATTTCCAGTGACTGAGTCCCTCGGGGTCTGGTTCTGGCGCCTGCAAGCCATGCCATGCCACGCCATGCCACCACCCTCATACACGCGCGATACAGCCACCTGGCGCTCACCTGCGGACCGGGAGAGTGCCTGCGTGATCGCTGAAGAGTGAGGGATAGGAAGGTCGGGACGTAGAACTACCGCTTGGAGAAGACAACGATGATACACTCTGGAGCGCACCTCCACGCGTCCCCGCCTACAAGATGGCCACTGGCGGCGCATGCTCCTGCGGCTGCCACGTCGGCCGCGCGCCGCGCCGCCCCGCCCCGCTCCCGCGTTGCCCCGCCCCGTCTGTCCCACAGGCCGTGAACGCCCGGATGCTGCAAGTTAAACTTCGGTACCAAGATTTTCTCAACCACCGAGACTTGGCTCTGCCCACGCCCTCTAGAAGCATTCTCCAAAGGGACTGGCCTCCTTCCTACTCCGCAACCCCCTTACACGAGATCGCCACGTGTGTAGCTCACTCATCCTGCGCCACAGCCGCCTAAGGGATGGAGATGAGTTAGCCAAGGTCAGCTAGTCCAGTCAGCACCTCCAGGAAGGACCTCGCGGCAGATACAGGGGACTTAACCTGTATAGTCAAAGATTTCCAGGTAGCAGTGATTACGTCAGAAGACAAGGATCGGGGAAGAGGGAGAAGGGAGAACAGTAGCAGTTACTGTACTAATTTTTCTCCAAGTACATGTATTGCACATTTTTTAAATTGTAAAATAGACAGATTATCAACTTTTTTATCATTATATGCTACACCTAACACAGTACCTGAAATAGTTGGTGTTCAATAATGTACCTTAGATAAATTAATTAATGGAGTGCTATAGAAGAAAATAAGAAACTTGAAATCAGAAGTCTTGATTTGAGTCTGAAACTAATGCCAGTTGCACAATTGCCTGCCCTTGTACAGGTCACTTAATCTCCATGAGTCTCCATATTTCTGTCTGCAAAGTGAGAATAATACTATCCACCATCCCTAACTCCGAAAAGTGACGGAGTCAAATAAAATCAGGCATACGAAAACATTTTTTAAACTGCTTAGCATTAGCATATGAAAATTTGTTTTTGTTGTTCCCAATTTTTTTTCAGGAACTCTTTTATAGATTTAACATTAATCTATCTCTTGAGCTTGACACCTGTAATCATTCTAAAATAACTCACTGAAAAGTTAACACTGTGTAGCAATATGACTTCAGATCTCACTGTGCAACTACCAAGGGTGGTTTTCTTTGGTGGTGACTCCTATCCTCTAAGAATGTGTGTAGGCAGCAGTACAGGTCTGTCTCCAGAAAGTGCTGTTTGGGGTGGTGCTGAAGACAGATACCATCTTCATCCTCTCTCATCAACACCCTTAGTAGTTATAAAGTATGTTGGTTTCTCCATCCTTTCAGAAAATATTTATTAGTGGCTGCAATGTGCTGAGTATTGGAAATGCTCATTACTGGAAATGCAGTAATGAACAAGACAAGCAAGGTCTTGATACCTAGGGAGCATTCTTTCTAACTTTCTAATAGGAGAGAGGGTAGGAACAGGAAAGTAAAGTAAGTACTGTTTGTGATATGCACTTTGAGGAGTCAACAAAGAGTGAGGTAATATTGACAGTACTTGGAGTAAGACCACTTCAGATAGGATGAATGGGCAAGGCTTCTCTGAAGAGGTGAGATGTGAGCAGAGACCTGTAATGCAGCAGGACTGTGCTTATCTGGACAGAAAGAAGAGCATGCAAAGACTCAAGGAGGGAGTGTGCATGGCTTGTGTCCAGAACAGCAAGGAAGCAGGACTATGAGAGATATAAAGAAGAGAGAACAGAGAGTGGAGCCAGATCATGTCTAGCCTTGTAGGTCATGAGAAAGTCTTTGTTTACATTTTGAGAGAAATGAGAAGCACGTGGAGTTTTGAGAAGAGACCTGACAAGATTTGACATCAATTTCTGATCACACTCTGATTGCTGTGTGACAATAGGGCATGCAAGGATGAATGCAGGATGACTGGTCATGAGATGATGGTGGCTTGGTGTCCCTAATGGAGGTGGAGGTGGCACACGGTCTGGATGTATTTTGAAGATGAAGCTGTCATGATTTGCTGATGGGTTGGGAGTGAGCTGTATTAGTTTCCTAATATTATCATAACAAATTCCCGCAGCTAGTGTTTTAGTTGGCTAAAAACAACAGAAATTGATTCCTTCACAGTTCTGGGTCTAGAAGTCCAAAACTGAGGTATCAGCAGGGCCTCTCCAAAGGCTCGAGTGGAGAATCCTTCCTTGCCCCTTCCAGCTTCTGGTGGCTCCAGGTGTTCTTTGGCCTATGCCAGCATACCTCCAATCCCTGCCTCTGTGCCAGCACACCTCCAATCTCTGCCTCTGTTTCCACATGGCCTTCTCCCTCATGTCTCTGTGTCCCAAATCTCTTTCTGCCTTTCTCTTATAAGCATACTTGCTTATGAGTGCATACTCATGGCACTTAGGGCCCACCCTAAATCTAGAATGATGTCATCTCAAGATATTTGTAGGTCTTGCAAAGATCCTATTTCCAAATAAGGTCACAGTCACAAGTTCCAGGTGGGCATATCTTTTTTTGGGGGGGTCACTATTTAATGCACTACATGGACAATGAGATAAGATGAACTTTGAAGTTAACCTTGAATTACATTAACTGTATTTCATGTTTTACTTACTGCTTTTTGTTTAAACTTTAAAGGAACTTTGTGTGGCAGGTATTATTATTCCAGTATTAGAAATGTGGAAACTAAGGCTCTAAAAATGGTGTGTAGAGCTGGAGTTGGAACCTAGAATCCTTAGGCTGTACCTCAACTGCTTGTCTGCTCTATGGGTGGTAAGGCAAGAAGATTTTTTTTCTTAGTGTCAGACAATGAAGGCAGTCAATGGAAAATTGTGGCAGAAAGAACTACTTAGTTTGTTTTTTTTTTTCGATCATTGCTAACAACTCATCAAATTCTTCCTTATAGGAAGTCTCTAACATATAATAGAATTCATTTGTGAGCTATAATGAGTGAGCAAGTGCTATTGTGGAATTTTGCTTTACTTGCTCACGAATATAGCCAAACAAAACTATTTCCCATTTGAGTTGAGGCTTTTTTCTAGCCTGAATCAGGTTTATTAGGTCTATTTTTAAATATTCTTAAGCTAGTTCTTAATGTTCATAATATTCATCTGAATATGCAAACATTCAAAAATATTCATGACTATTTGCAGGTGGATAAGAGATGAGGCTGAGACTAGGCATCTGCAGCATAACCAGGAGTGAAGGCAGAGCTGATTCTGGCTTGAGAGATGATGGGCTTTGCTGGGAGAGCCAGCTCTGAGTTACACAACCAGAAGAACACTTCAATAGATAACGCCAAGGGTACTGGCTGAGATGTAGGGATCAGAGGCCCACACCCATGCTCAGTGCCCAACCATGCCGAGGATAAGTAAGCTCCTTTGGCAACCAGAAAGAAGAAGGAACCTTGTCTCAAATGTTGCATAGGACACACTTGTACTAAAAAAAAAAATTTTATTCATTTGAAATTCAAATTTAGGAGGCAAGTGAGCTGAAGCTTAGAGTGTGAGAAGCAATGTAGCAAGGACTAGGACATCAGCTGGCACCAAAAAATCTGGACTGGAATCTTGGCTCTGCTGGGTCACCAGCTAACCTTGGACCTTTCTCTTAAACACAGTCTCTCCATTTCTTCACCCATAAAGTGGGACAAATAGTCATATTAATACCTACCTCATAGTTTTTTTTTATGAAGATTAAATGACTTGATATGTGTGGAGTGCACAGCATAGGGCCTAACTCACAGTATTAGCTCTTACTCTTTGAGTTTAAAATTGCCCAGATATTCATCTCATAATGACTATTTTAAGCCAAAAGAACTTTTATTTGGTTGAGTCTGAATTGTAATTTCCAAATCAAGGTTTGTTTGCTTGTTTGCTTTTAACTGAAGGAAATTTGGTGATACATAGTGGGACCCTACCTCTCAATTTGTCTGGGACAATCCACTTTAGGGTTGTTGTCCCGGCATGATTTTTTTTAAAGTACCCACTTCTTATTCTAAAAAGTGTTCCAATTTGGACAATAGAACTTATGGGTTATCCTATTACAGAGATATCGAGAAGTCACTCATTTTTACACGAGTTTAGTGTGCACATTTCAATACCTGTCCTTTTCCCCCACATACATAATCATCACTAGAATTTAATTTCCTTATGGAAGAACAAACTCAGCCTGTGTCCCACTACAGATTGGTGTGTCCACTTAATACAAAAAAAATGGAAACTGAACAACCAGAAGAAACCTTCCCTAACACTGAAACCAATAGTGAATTTGGTAAACGCCCTGCAGAAGATATGGAAGAGGAACAAGCATTTAAAAGATCTAGAAACACTGAAGAGAAGTTTGAATTAAGCATGCTGCTTCAGAGCAAGTATGGTGGGCAGTGACTGGAAAAGGAGGCAAGAATATTAAGGCTCTTCGTACAGACTACACTGCCAGTGTTTCAGTCCCAGACAACAGTGGCCCCAAGCGCATATTGAATATCAGTGCTGATTTTGAAACAGTTGGAGAAATTCTGAAGAAAATCATCTCCACCTTGGAAGAGCGCCTGCAGTTGCCATCACCCACTGCAACCAGCCAGCTCCCACTTGAATCTGATGCTGTGGAATGCTTAAATTACCCGCACTATAAAGGAAGTGACTTTGACTGACTGTGCGTTGAGGCTGTTGACTCATCAGAATCTAGCAGTAGGAATTACTGGGGTCAAAGATGCTAAAATCAAAGAACTTCAAGAGAACACTCAAACAACCATCAAGCCTTTCCAGGAATGCTGTCCTCATTCCACTAACAAAGTTGTTCTCATTGGAGGAAAACCAGACAGGGTTGTAGCGTGTATAAAGATCAACCTTGATCTTATATCTGAGTCTCCCATCAAAGGATATTCCCAGCCTTATGATCCAAATTTTTATGATAAAACCTATGATTTTGGTGGTTTTACAATGTTTGATGACCGCCATGGACTCCGAGTGGGATTTCCGACACGGGGAACAGATGGTTTTGACAGAATGCCTCTTGGTTGAGGTGGCATCCCATGCCTCCATCCAGAAGAGATTATGATGATATAAGAGATTATGATGATATGAGCCCTCGTTGAGGACCACCTTTTCCTCCTACTGGATGTGGTTGGGGTGGTAGCCGAGCTTGGAATCTTCCTCTTCCTCCACCATCACCACCTAGACGGGGAGACCTAATGGCCTATGACAGAAGAGGGAGACCTGGAGACTGTTACAACGGCATGGTTGGTGTCAGTGCTGATGAAACTTGGGACTCTGCAATAGATACATGGAGCCCATCAGAATGGCAGATGGCTTATGAACCACAGGGTGGCTCCAGATATGATTATTCCTATGCAGGGGGTTGTGGCTCATATGGTGATCTTGGTGGACCTGTTACTACTACACAAGTAACTATTTCCAAAGATTTGGCTGGATGCAGGCTGGATCCTGGATTGTTGGCAAAGGTGGTCAGCAGATTAAACAAATTTGTCATGAGTCGGGAGCTTTGATCAAAATTGATGAACCTTTAGAAGGATCTGAAGATCGGATCATTACCGTTACAGGAACATAGGACCAGGTACAGAATGCATATGCATACTATTTGCTCCAGAACACTGTGAAGAAGTATTCTCAAAGTTTTTCTAAGACTGATGAAGAATCGAAGGAGTCCTGCATCTTTTTTTTTTTTTAAAAATCTGCTTCTGTTTAAAAAGCCAACATTCCTCTGCTTCATAGGTGTTCTGCATTTGAGGTATAGTGAAATCCTTGCTCTTCATCAGATGTAATGTTTTAGTTCCTTACAAACAGGGTTGGGGGGGAAGGGCATGCAAAAACTAACACTGAAATTTTGAAACAGCAGCAAAGTGAGTGGATTTTACTTTTTGTCATTGTTGGTGGTTTTAAAAAATTCCCGCCATGTAATTATTGTAAACACCTTGCTTTGTGGTCACTGTAACATTTGGGAGACGGGACAGAAATGAAAAGTAACAGTAGTCCACATGTCCCTGGCATCTGTTCAGAGCAGTATGCAGAATGTAATGCTCTTTTGTAAGAAACATTTTTATGATTTTTAAAATAAATTTAGTGAATCTGTTTTTGGTGGTCATTTTTGTTTAAGACAGTCATTTTTAAATGGTGGCTGAATTTCCCACCCCACCCCTAAACTAAACAGTAAGTTTGATTTTCAGCTCTTCTGTTGGATATATAAGTGCATCTCTTCTTGGACATAGGCAAAATAACTTGGCAAACTTAGTTCTGGTGATTTCTTGGTTTGAGTGTCTATTGCTGGGAAGAAATTCCATCATATATATTCATGCTTATAATAAGCTGTGGATTTTTTGTTTGTTTCTGCAAATGCTTGCCCCTACTTTTCAACAGTTTTCTATGTTAGTAGTTGTAAAAAACTAAGGTGGGGAGCAGTACTACAAGTTGAGTAATGGTATGACTATATGCCAGAATTCTGACTGGCAGCAAGTTTTATTATCAGAATAACACTTGGTTATGGAAGTGACTGACTGATGCTGAAAAAAATGATTATTTGTATTAGATCATTTCTCACCTATGATATAAACTATCAACTTGCTTTAGTGTCTTATTACACTTAGTAAAATATATATATATATATATATATATACTTGTTTTTCCATTATATGCAAATTGAAAGAAAAAGATGTACTATTTCTTTGTTGTATGTTGGATTATGTAGGAAATGTTTGTGTACAATTCAAAAAGAGATGACAAAAGTCTCTGTGGATGTTTTGTGTACTATCTTGGCATTTGTATTGATAGTTAAAATTTACTTCCAAATAAATAAAACATACATGATGCTAGATTTGATTGATGTGTGCCCAGTTTGAACAATAGTTCACTGACACCTGTAAAATTTGTTGAAACATTTATCTTACAAGGAAATACAGCAATCTTAAATTATAAAAATGAAGAAGAAACTTTATTATTTTTCTCAAATACATATTTGTAAAAACATTCTGTGACTCTTTCTTGTTCGCATGGTAAAATCTTAAAAACTCCACTTACCCTTGCTTACTAGACTCTTCTCCTTTTCCTATATCCTGCTCTTCATTTCCTAGACACCCGCTGCAAGGATCTGCCCTACCCAAGCCTGAAGTCATACACCTTTGCTTCTACCAGTCCCTTTAACTGAAGCGTGTTTTTCCCTTTCCACCTTCTACTAATAGGTATTCATCACTTTCAAGGACTCACTCAAAGTTTTCTTGTACCATAAAAATCTTTCTACGTTGTAGTATTATTGGCTGCGCATGCTTACATTCTCTATGCATTTATGAGCTCCTTGATGGTAATGAATCAGGGTTTAGGATACCACTACATTCAAACTTTTACATAAGTGAGTACTATGAACATGTTTTGAATTGAGTTGAATTTTCTATTAAGATTCATGTACAGTACACACATTCCAAAATGTCCTCATAGTCATCTTTTTTTCTCCTTCAAATGTGAGTTCACTAAAAATATTCTTGTAGGAGACAGAACAAATGTTTCTTTTGGAAGTTTTGAAATTTTTCTTTGAATAAGAAACCATGCTGGTGTATGCCTGTAGTCCCAGCTACTCGGGAGGCTGAGGCAGGAGAGTTACTTGAACCTAGGAGGGGGAGACTGCAGTGAGCCGAGATCGTGTAATAGTACTCCAGCCTGGGTGACAGAGTGAGACTCTGTCTCAAAAAAGAAACCATGCAACTAAAATTAGTTCTCTGGCCAAGGAATTACTGTTAATGTGCAATAACATATTACAAAGTATTCTAATCGTTTTCTAGAATTTTGTGTTTTTACAAAGTTATAAGTTTGCATAACGTCAAGCAATAACTCTCAATGCATAACTCCTAAATATTTCTATCTGTAGTAGTGTTTCTCAAGACTTTCAATTCACAGAACATTACACTTTTCTCTTTTAATTTTATAAGTTTAGAAAAGGTAACATAACATAATTGTTCCTACAGGCACCTTTGTTTTCAAGCAATATTTAAAGCTCAGATTCATGTGCTTTTTCTTTTGGCAATTCAGCATTTATTTGATGCTTAGAAGTGAAATTTTGACAAGAGTGTTTGTGAGGTGAATGCGTCCAATTTATGTAACTCACCAATCAACGCAACTGCATGGAAACAGCCATTTGGTGTCCTTCTGCTTCCTATCTCGCAGAACCGCTTCTAAGCGGGTCAGCAGGGTTAGGTAAAAAATATACTAGATTAGGAATCTAGCACAGCTTCTGCCACTAATTAACAAAGTAACTCTTGTCTGAGGGTTACCTTCTCTGAGTTTTAATTTCCTCCCCAGACAAGGAGGGATAGTTAAGTGGTGAGCATTCATTATGGTTAGCTTCCTAACCAGACAGAAGAAAATAAGACATCCTTCCTCATCAACATAGATGAAAGGCTACTCTGGGCACACTGCCTGCAAAAAAAAAAAAAAAAAAAGAAAGAAAAGAAAAATTCTTGATGAAATGTTAGAAGATTGAATTGAGGAATAGATGATAATGGTGATGGTGATGATGGTTGATGATATACATTGTGACTAAGTAACATTGTTTTCCCCCCCAGGAATAGAAGGGTGGTCCTACTTCAGAATTTTTTTTTTTTTTTTTTTGAGACAGAGTCTCGCTCTGTCGCCAGGTTGAAGTGCAGTGGCGCGATCTTGTCTCACTGCAACCTCCACCTCCCAGGTTCATGTGATTCTCCTGCCTCGGCCTCCCAAGTAGCTGGGACTACAGGTGCGTGCCACCACACCTGGCTAATTTTTTGTATTTTTAGTAGAAATGGATTTTCACCGTGTTAGCTAGGATGTTCTCAATCTGCTGACCTCGTGATCTACCCACCTCGGCCTTCCAAAGTGCTGGAATTCCAGGCGTGAGCCACCGTGTCCAGCCCTCAGAAATATTTATTGATGATTTAACAAATTTTTAAAGAAAAAGAATCTGATAATACCAGTAGATGCAGGTAAAAGCCTTTGATAAAATTGAACTCTTATTCGTGATAACTCTTGTTAAAGTAGGAATAGAGGCAATCATTAATTTGATAAAGGACATCTACAAAATAACAGCCAAAACACTTCAGTAGTGAGATAGAAGCCTTTCGTTTAAAGTAACAAGTAAAAAGAGATTTTTAAAAAAATTTAACATGGGAAAAACACAACTATACTTATTTTTAGTAAAAATTCCTGTTGAAATGATCCAGTAGGTAGTACTTGTACTTCTTTTCAAGCTCCCAGTGGTCTTCACCAGTACGCAGCCTTAAAGAGCATCTGCATGCTAATGACTTCCATCTCTATGTGTCCAGCTATAACTTCTCTCCTAAACTCTACATCTGTTTGTCCAAGCAGGAGACTAATTAAAACTCTTAGTGTTTCCTCCAAATATCCTGCCCCTCTTGTGCTCTTCCTATTTGATAAATGGCAACTGTGTTTTTCTAATTTCTCTGATAAATAACACCTCGGATCAAAGTCAACATCACCAGTAATAAGTCGTGTTGAGAGAATATACTTTTGATATAAAGTAATGAAACTGACACTTTTTCTCAGCGGTCTTCCTCCTTCAAAACCATAATCCCAGTGTAATCATGAGAATAGAGAGATATTCTACAGTATATCTGACTAGTACTCCTCAAAATTGTCACGGTCATCAAAAACAAGAGAAGCCTGAGAAACTGTCATAGCTAAGAGGAGTTTAAGGAGACAATGACATTTCACTGTAATGTGCTATGGAAAGAAACAAAAGAATACCCAAATTAGAGCAAGAAAACACTGTTTATTTTGAGCTTGCTATAGCAGGGGAGTAGCCACCATCACTTGCATTTGGTGCAAACTTAAAGGCAAAGACTCAGAGGAGTGGAAAAGCTTTACAGGGGGAAAAAGAGAAACTTCAGATGGGAGGCCTTTCTCATGTGGAAGCTGTAGGTGAGCCAAACAGGACCAGGGTTAGGAGTGCATTCATTCATTTAACAGAGATTTGTTAACCACTCAAGTGCTTCCTAAGTACTTGGGACTTAAACACTTTCTTTAGTTGGTCCTAAGTTGGAAGCTGGGGCAAAAATTAGGGAAGCTGTCTGTTATTAGGTTCTGGCCATGTGGGGCCAATTGCTATAGGGCTAGTCGTTTAGCTTCTTGGACTGGTTGCTGCAGGTTGTGGGTCAGAGTTCTGTTATTATATATGGTCTATCATTACCCACTGGGTATTCAATCTCACTGTGGTATCCTGAATGAGATCCTGGAACAGAAAAAGGCATTAGGTAAAATCTAAAGAAACTGAATACAAGTATGGGCTCTGGTTAATAAAAATATAGTAATATTGGCTCATTACTTGTAACAATGTGCCATACTGATGTAAGATGTTACCAGTAAGAAGCAAACTGTGTATGGGGTATGTGGGAACTCTGTACTATCCTTTCAATTTTTCTGTGAATCTGAAACTGTTCTAAAAATAAGTTCACTTTAAACACACACACACACACACACACACACACCCCTACCCCTTAGAGACCTCCCTGACTCCTCACTTTCTCTCTCCACATCTAGTCCTTTAGAAAATCCTGTCAGCTCCACCAAGGAAACAGTCAGTATCTGACCACACCCCCACCACACTTCTGCTCCCACCTGAGCCCCGACTTCACCCAGTGTCACTTGGAAATCTCACTAGCATTGTAAAGGCCCACTTGCTCCACATCTGCCTGGCTATGGTGCTTTTCCACAGAGCTTAACCATGGCCTGCAAGGCGGTGACCCAACCCCTGGCCCCGCTCTGCCCTCACTTGCCACCACCCTTTCCCTCACTCCCTCTGTTCCATCATCCTGGCCTAGTGCTGTTTCCAGCCCCCTCACACATTGGGCTCTTTGCAGCTGCTCCCCCTTGCTGAATAGAGTCCTGTTTCCACATATCCTCTGTCCCAGGGAGGCCTTCCCTAAACATCCTGCTTCATTTTTCTTCATAACACTGAGCACTTCCTGATATTACAATATAAATCTATTTGTTTACTGTCCATCTTCCATAAATATAAGCTTATGAACTCAAGGGCAAGTGTGTCCGTTTCATTCACCACTATCCCCAATTTTAGTCCCAAGTACTTAGTAGGCACTCAGCCAATCTTCGTTAAATGAATAAGTAAATGAATGTGCCAAGGATCATAAAGTTTCATCAGTGCACTGCAGTTGCTGACACTGCAGAGTTCCCTTATCATTCTTTTCCAAAAGATTCATAATTTTGCTTCCATCATATCAAAAATATTATTCCAGAGATAATTTAGTTCTTCGTTTCCTTCACATACATAAAATTCATTTTACTTAGTGTGAGTCAATTAAACTTGGCCTCAGAATATGATCTGAGACGGGAGCTAAGATTCCTTCCATAATTTATAT